AATCGATAAGAGTAGGCTTCGGCCACCACCCGGACAAAATTCAAAATTTCCTACCAACTAAAAATAGTAGGTGTGTCCCGCGCGCTCATATGACCTTATGCAGTTGCGAGCGCCGTAAAACACTTTACAAAAACAAAAAAGACAGTGTATTTACTGAAGAGGAAAATATAACATACTCCCTCTACACTCTGTTGTCATTCCGACCTGTGAACCATGTCTCCATACCCCCGAATGTTTTGAGGAGACTTAGAGAAAACAATTTAAATAGTATCCGAAAAACTAAAAGGTAAAAAAGAAGAGATAAAAGAAAAGTAGAATGTAAAATATCTCAGAGAAACGCTGGTCAAACGAATGGACTCCAAACTCAAGCCGACACCGTCTCCTGAGAGACACCTGGTGGTGGCATCTCTTTGGGGAGGATTCGAGGAGGTTGGACTGCCTCACCCGCCACCCAAGAGAGGCGGTAGCCGTGACGAAGAGCACTCTCTTCGGGGCTCCAAACATGTCAAACGGAAGGGCTACAACACACATACACACACACACACACACACACACACACACACATACACACACACATACAACAACAACAAAAACAACAGCAACAGCAACAGCATTAGCCCGCCCCATAGTAAACAACATATTTTGATGATTTTGAAGGAAAGGACAATCTCAAAATTGCTTCGTTTTAAGCGTGGACACTTCCGTGCACTCATAGCAAAATGAGACGGGGAGCTTCAGAGTCCAGTCATAAGTTCAACTAAATAAAACAAATGTGAGGCAGCGTGGTAGAATCAGGCTCTCGTCAAAATAATCAAAGTGAAGAAACTTGCATTTTTCCGCAGGTTTGTGAATTTTTATCAGATTTTAGTTTCTTGGCCCAACATCTTTCGTGCCCATTAAAGAACGAATTTATGAGTTGATTTTCCTGAAAAACGTTAATTAAAGGTAAGCTAAGGAAATAATTAATCTTTGGCGGCCATTTTCTCAATAACTTTACCTCTGAAAACAGGTGACTCTCACCTCCTTCTTTTGCAAATATCTCGACTTGTATTCAAGATAAATGGATATTTTTTCATCCAAATAAAGCCAAGTGAACAAGCTTTAGGATGATATCAATAACTCTACATGCCCAAAAATTGATGAGAGCCTGATTCCACCACGCTGCCTCACAAATGAGCCCGATCGTCCCACAAGCACACGGGGAGTTGAACCACCCAGTCTTGATGAATAATGCACGCCAATAAGAGCGCGCTACAAATAGCAACAACCACGACACTAACACTTTCTTTTCCTTGGAGAGAAACTGGTAATTATCTTGTCTTAGAATAACAAAAGTCTCAATACCGAAGCGGAAGCAATAACGTGTGGAGTCCCAAGGTCTTTGAATCACGTAATCAACAAAAAGAACCAATCTAGTCTTTATTTCGGAGTGGGAGGGAATTTCAAACTCCTCGGAGGAAAACACTGATTTCAAGATGAATGGGAACTTGCAGTTTTGGGGGGTATTATTGTAAATGTTTTATGCTTTCAGTCAATACAATTTGAATCGCTTTCTTCTCGTCTTTCTGTCCCCACTCCCTCATCTCCTTTGCCCCCTCCTCTGGGCTCCTGATTCTTTGTACAGCCTTTCTACTGCTACTCCTTGGCTTCTTGTTACTGGTGTCTTTCAGCCACACCCCTGATCTTCTGGTAGGAATTATCTACACCTAGCCTTCTCGTACAAGGGCGAAAAATCTTGGAGGGTCCGTGTGCAAGGTGCGCACATTAAAGATCCCTTGGTGGTCTTAAATCTATAAGATTAGGCTTCGGCCGCCACCCGGGCAAAATTCAAAATTTCCTACCAACTGAAAAAGTTGAATCTGTCCCGCGCGCTCATATGACCTCATGCAGTTGCGAGCAAACAAACAAACAAATAATTTGAATCTTCCTGAAGGTGCGCTCTTTCGGCCCTGTATATCACGGCTAACCCAGACAAGGAGGAACACAGCATCCCAGCGCCCGGAAGGATATACTCCATAAAAATAGAAGAGCAACACTTAAAGTAACATTCTAACTCGTGAGATCGAAGACACGTTTGTAGCCTAAATCTACGGAGAGCCTACCCTGTACATCAGTACTTTTCAACCGTTTTATAGACAGCTCCTACGTTTGCCACCTTTAAGAAGTTGACATTTTTGTCCCGCCCACCTACATGTATTTTCAAATGAGGCATTAGATAACAGCTGTTACTCCCACGGTGATTCCCGGTGCCCATAAAAATTACCAAATGTCCCACTGGTGGGAGATATCACACAGGCTGACAAGCACTGCACAAGACCAAAGGGGGCGTATGGTATTCGGAGACATGTGAAGCGAGAACCCAGGAACTATTTGGATACGCACTCCGGCACACAGATACACTGCTTTTGGGGTCAAACTGCGTATTGTTTGCTGCAGATAACACACATATATCCACTAAAACTGTCGCAAATTTATTGTTTCCAAGAAAATTTCAAACCAA